AACACCCAGAGGGCTGAAGCTTGCCCAGGCCTGATCAACAGTGATTTAGTAACTGTTCACGTGGAGGTTCACCAGTATGTGAGTATCCCAGGCATGGAGTTCATCAAGTTGCCCTTGGTTGGCTCCTCTTCCTTTTTCCTTCCATGTTCCCCGGCATCATTGTCTTTTCCAAGCTTTCCTGTCTTCTCATTATGTGGCCACAGTACTTCATCTTTGCCTCTAATATCCTTCCCTCCAGTGAGCACTTGAGCTTTATTTCCTGGCGTATGGACTCGTTTGATCTTCTTGCGGTCCAAGGCACTCTCAGACTTTTCCTCCAGCACCACAGTTCAAAAGTGTCTATCTTCCTTCGCTCAGTCTTCCTTATGGTCCAGCTCTCACAGCCATAGGTTACTACAGGGAATACCATTGCTTTAGCTATGCAGATCTTAGTTGCCAATGTGATGTCTCTATTCTTCACTATTTTATTGAGATTGATCATTGCTCTCCTCCCAAGAAGTAAATGTCTTCTGATTTCCTGGCTGCAGTCTGCAGTAATCTTCGTGCCCAGAAATACAAAATCTGTTGCTGCCTCTAAGTTTTCTCCCTCTGTTTGCCAGTTATCATCCAGTCTGGCTGTTGTAATCTTTTTTTTAATGTTTAACATACATATATAGAATTGGAAGTTAGAAGAGACCCTCAAGGGCCAACCAGTCCAACCTACTATGGAGGAATACACAATCAAATCATTCCCAACAAATGGCCAGTCTCTGATGCACTTTGTTCTAGCTGTCTTGAATAAGCTATCTTGGCTTCCATATTGAGAAAGATCTAACTTGAATACATAAATGGATAACCAAAAGTCATGGAATGAATCAGGGTGAAACAAATGTTTTGCTTATAAGTTATAATAAACTTTATTTGTATACCACCCTATCTCGCCTAATGGGAGTCAGGGCAGTTTTCGACATGTTAGACAAACATTCAATTGCTGGAAAGAAACCATACAGACAATTACATCAAGATAAACACATTCGACAACATAACACAATCTAATTAAACTTCATAAACAAAAGAAACAGCAACTTTAAAAAATCATAAATACAAGAAATCTACTAAAGGACACAGCATGGATACACACACACACACACACACACACACACTTCATTGTAGCTCCTTCAGGAGAGATTCAACCTTTCTAATGCCACAATCCCTTGATGCAGTTCCTCATGTTGTGGTAACCCTCTACGATAAAATTATTTTTGTTGCTATTTCATAGCTGTAATTTTGCGACTGTTATGAATTGTGAGGTAAATATCTGATATGCAGGATGTATTTTCATTCACTGGAACAAATTTGGCACAAATATCCGATATGTCCAAATTTGAATACTGGTGGGGTTGAGGGGGATTGATTTTGTCATTTGGGAGTTGTAGTTGCTGGGATTTATAGTTCTCCTACAATCAAAGAGCATTCCGAACCCCACCGACAATAGAATTGGACCAAACTCCCCATCCAGAACCCCCATGACCAACAGAAAATGCTCTTTTCTGATGCTCTTTGGTGACCCCTCTAACACCCCCTCGTGACCCCCTTCCCAAAGGGCTCCCGACCCTCAGGTTGAGAAACGGGGAACTAGACCAATGGCCAGGGTTATACATGGTTGTGACCAACTGTAAAAGGGCTGGGCATGTGGATGAAGTGCAGGACAAAGTGCTATCTGGCTACTTGGGAACTGGGCCTGGGGCTAGTTCTTCTTAAAGACTTTCTGGAATATCCAGGTTTTCAAATCCATGGAAAGGAGGACAGTGTGAGAGCTTCAGTGTTGCGATCACCACGGTGTTCTGCGCGCAAACATGCGTCTGCCCTTGGACTTTCCGATCGTTCTGTGAGGAGAACTCCATGGAGAAGAGACCAAAGGCAACTTTGGGTCTCTCCACCATGGTATGAATGAGATTTTCCTCCTTCTTGGCAGGAGGTTGGACTGGATGGCCCAGGGGGTCTCTTCCAACTCAATAATTCTATGATTCTATATGAAGGGGAGATCGCAAAGTAACTTATGCAGGACAGAGTTCTGGGCACCTACATAGAAGGGAGATTCCACTCCCCCCCCCCCCAAAAAAAAGAACTATATGGAGGCTATCCCCCAAGGCAACTATATTCTCACCTCTTCCTCTATTACAGGCAGATCCACACAAATGAAAATGGGCTTAATCACTAAAAAAACAACAGCGTTCTCAGGAACAACTTCGAGAAGAATCTCATACGCGTTCCTCCAAGAATTGAAGTCACGTTCAAAAAGTTCCTGCACAATCACCATCTTGTAAGGATGGAAATGAAGATCATCATGAAGAATTCTCCTCACAGAACGATCGGAAAGTCCAAGGGCAGACGCATGTTTGCGCGCAGAACACCGTGGTGATCGCAACACTGAAGCTCTCACTGCCTCAATGTTCTCAGGTGATCTAATGGGCCAAGGGACTCCAGTTCTTCGTTTTGTCGCACTTGCAGTTTGTCTGAATGTAGTGACCCATGTCACAATTGATTTCCAGTCCAGGACAGGGGCCAATGGGGCTAAATTAAAGCAAATCCGAAAGGCACGCTGGATTGCGATCCCAGAACATCCACTTGGAAAGTAGGCCTCAATGGCAAAAGCATGCTCCTCACAGTTCGAACGCATGATGGCGACTGAACTGTGTCAGGACAAAACTTTATACTCCTGCCTCTCGAATGAGACCACTAGTGCTTCGCTACATCTTCAACCGACTGAATGGCGTGCATTTTAAAAAAAGGCTGTTATGCTGCCGCACCCTCTATTTTCATTATATTTTATTGATATATTATTTTATACTATATATTTGCTTTGTTGTGATTGTTGGGCTTGGCCTCATGTAAGCTGCCCCGAGTCCCCTTGGGGAGATGGTGGTGGGGTATAAATAAAGTTTTTTTATTTATCTATTTATTATTATATGTGTATATATGTTTGTGTGTATATATTTGTGTATATGTGCATATCTGTGTGTTTGTGTGTGTGTCCTGCATGCCTTGTATAGGCTTTTTAAGTCCCTTCTGTTGTGTTTTTCAGTGTTTTTATAAATGCACTTTCATCCCCATCCCACTCAGGGTTTTAACTTTTTAACATTTTACCTCATACATTTGGCCCACCCTCTATGTCTGGTTTTATTATGCTGTTTTATATTGCTGATTTTATTTGTTATTTCATATTTTGCTATGATGTATTTTGTTATTGTGTGTTTATTATGTTGTATCATTTTGGGCTTGGCCTCATGTTAGCTGGCCTGTGTCCCCTTTGGGGAGATGGTTGCGGGTTGTAGTTTATTATTATTATTATTATTTTATTATTATGGTCACTCGTTGGCCTGATTGTATTGTGCCCAAATTTGGTGTCAATTTGTCCAGTGGTTTTTGAGTTATGTTAATTCCACAAATGAACATTACAGGGTTGTTGTAGGTTTTTCCGGGCTATATGGCCATGGTCTAGAGGCATTTATTATTATTATATTATTATAACTTTATTTGTACCCCGCTAGCATCTCCCAAAGGATTCGATGCGGCTTACACTGGCCGAAGCCTCAAAACACAATACAACAAAACAATATCAAAGCAAATTAAAAACAGTTAAGCAAAATAAACAACAAACAATAACAATACAACAGGACACTTTAAAACTGGGCCGGCCAGGCTTGTCCTCACTTCATCTTTTCTTCCCACCCACCCCCCCCCCCATCATAATTAATTTTTATTAACCACAAAAGAAATGCTATATACATAAAAAGAGGTGGAACAATATAGTGAAAGAAAAGTAGGAAATAAAGATGTATAAGTCTTAACAAAAACTACTTCGTTCTTTTCTTTAACCCAGATTCTTTACAGCGATTCAACTTGTTCTCCTCTTTTTTTCTAAACATCTAATAATTTTTATTGCATTTATATTCATTTTATTACAAAAACAATCTTTATAATTCATATAATTACTTTTTTCCTTTCCCCAGTTGTGCTACCCCTTGTGCTCCCCATCTCCGGAGTTCTTCTTTTCTTTGTATTCCCACCAGAACCTCATTTCTTCTGGTGGGGGTTGGTTCCCATCTTCTTTCCTTAATGTTTCCTCAATAAATATTTTCCATATATTTTCAAAATCATTATCCTTCCTTAGGCCTTTTTAAACTTTTAAATTGCATGTTAATTTGTCATTTATTGCTAATTTCCAAATTTCCTTGTACCATTCTTCTATCTTAATTTCCACCTCTCCTTTCCAATATTTTGCTATTAGTAGCCATGCAAGCATCCTCAGAGGTAGTGAGGTCTGTTGGAACTAGGAAAAAGGTTTATATATCTGTGGAATGACCAGGGTGGGACAAAGGACTTTTGTCTGCTGGAGCTAGGTGTGAAACATTCACACCTACCTCCAGCAGACAAAAGTCCTTTGTCCCACCCTGGTCATTCCACAGATATATAAACCCATTTTCCTACTCCCAACAGACCTCACTACCTCTGAGGATGCTTGCCATAGATGCAGGCGAAACGTCAGGAGAAAATGCCTCTAGACAATGGCCATATAGCCCGGAAAAAACTACAACAAACCAGTGATGAAAGCCTTGGACAATACAATGAACATTACATTTTTATTTATATAGAAGATGGAGGTGAGACTCTAAGTCAAATTTATGGAAAGGCAACTGTGTGGAGGAGAGGCTTGTGCCCAAGCAACCCAGCTGAGTTGCTTTGCTCCTCTCTTGGGTCTCCTCCAGCAATGCCCTCCTTGACTTTTCCAGTCAAGGAGGGAGGGGAATGGAAAGAAGAGTTGGGGGGTGGAAGTGGAGCTCCCTCCCTGCCTGCTTTCCACAGGGTTTCCTGGGGGGTGCTCCCTGGGGAGGAGAGCCTGCCCAAAGGCCCCTCCCGCCCCTGCCCTTCCTCCTCCTCTGAGTGGGGAAGGGCGGGGGAGCAGGGGGCGTGGCCAGGGGGCGGGGGGCGTGGCCGGGGAGGCGGCAGCGTCCCCATAAAGAGCTGCGCCGGGGAGGCCGGGAGACTCGCCTGGGCTGCGGATCAGCACCGCGGACAGCGACCTTTCCTCCTCCTCCTCCTCCGCCTTTCCTCCTCTCGCTCTCCTCCTCTCGCTCTCCGAGGCGCTCGCCATGTCCGCCGAGGCTTTCCTCCAAGAGAAGGAGCTCTCCGCCGCCCAGTTTTTCGAGATCTGGCGTCATTACGACTCAGACGGTGACTAAACTTTGGGGGGGCTTTGGGCTTCCTTTCCTTCTTCTAACTTTGGGTGCCTTCTCTCCACCTGGAAGAGTTGGCAGCACTTTGGGCACCGCTCGAACTGCCCTGGCTCAGAGCAAAGGAAGCGCAGGAGTTGCACTCTCAGTCTCAAGGCTTTTCTCTGCCGAGGAGTGCTGAACGAGGACTCTCAGGACTCCCTAGCGTTGAGCCAAGGCAGCGAAAGCGGGGCCAAGTTGCATTCATCCCTATCCAGTGTAGATAGATGCATTTTTTGACCCGAGTAGTGGAGGGAGGGATGGGAAAACGGAGAAAGGAGTCGCTGTCTTTCCCTCCTGCAAGAGGCAAACTTTGCCCTGTAGTTTTTCTGTGCGCCTTTTGCTGAAAGTTTGTCTTGAAGAGGGGGTTTTGGACCCGGGAAGGGTCTGCTCTGGATTCAGCAGTGGAACTCTCTGCCCCGGAGTGCGGTAGAGGCTCCTTCTTTAGAAGCTTTTAAACAGAGGCTGGGTGGCCATCTGTCGGGGGTGCTTTGAATGCAATTTTCCTGCTTCTTGGCAGGGGGTTGGACTGGATGGTCCATGAGGTCTCCTCCAACTCTATGATTCCTGCCTGCGAAGCAGTCCTCTCATTCCCTGCATCTAAAAGAGCAAGACTGTACCACTTATGTTGTCGAAGGTTTTTATAGCCGGAATTTCTATGGGTTTTCTGGGCTTTGTGGCCATGTTCCAGAAGCATTCTTTCCTGACATTTCGCCTGCATCTCTGGCAGGCATCCTCAGAGGTTGAGAGCTCTGTCAAAGGCTTCCATGGCTGGAATCACTGGGTTGTTGTAGGTTTTTCAGGCTATATGGTCATGTTCTAGAAGCATTCTCTCCTGACATTTTGCCTCCATCTCTGGCAGGCATCCTCAGAGGTTGAGAGCTCTGTCGAATGCTTCCATGCCTGGTATCACTGGGTTGTTGTGCATTTTTCCGGATATATTGCCATGTTCTAGAAGCATTCTCTCCTGACATTTCGCCTGCATCTCTGGCAGGCATCTTCAGAGTTTGGGACTTCTGTCGAAGGCTTCCATGGCTGGAATCACTGGGTTGTTGTAGGTTTTTAAGGCTATATGGCCATGTTCTAGAAGGATTATCTCCTGACGTTTTGTCTGCATCTATGGCAGGCATCCTCAGAGGTTGTGAGGACCTCACAACCTGCCATAGGATGCCTGCCATAGATGCAGGTGAAACGTCAGGAGAGAAAGCTTCTAGAACATGGCCATATAGTCCAAAAAGCCTACAGCAACCCATTGGAATCTAGGCAAATATATATGTGGAAAGTCCAGATTGGGAGAAAGAACTCTTTGGGCACTTCCACACAGCCTTATATCCCAGAATATCAAGGCAGGATATCCCACATTATCTGCGTGTGGACCCAGATAACCCAGTTCAAAACAGATATTGTGGGATTTTCTGCCTTGATATAGAGCTGAGTGGAAGGACCCTGAGTCTGTTGAGGCAGGTGTGAATGTTGCAATTGGCACTGAAAAGCCTTAAACAGCCAGACCTTAAGCGGCTGAGGGGGAAAAGGAAGGGGTCTGAGATTGCGAGGAATGGTGGGAGTTGAAGTCCCAAACCCCCAGAGGGCCGAAGTTTGCCCAGGCCTGATCTAGAAGCGAGACAGAATGTTGATATTTTCCTTAGGAAAGGGATAGAATTCTGGCTGTAGTCCTCAGGCTCCATATCTGAGAGTAATCCCCAAGACACGCTTCTGAGTAGGCTTGTTTAGCATTTGATATTTTGCTGTTATGTGCTTTCTATTCTTTTCTGAGTTATGTCAACACTAAGGTGAACCTGTCATGGGATTTTCTGGGGCTGAGAGAGTGTGACTCACCCAAGGTCAGCTGGTGAGTAGCAGCCCCCGGTAGCACAATGGGTTAAACCCCTGTGCTGGCAGGACTGCTGACCGACATGGCAGCAGTTTGAATCTGGAGAGAGTGGGTTGAGCTCCCTCTATCAGCTCCAGCTCCCTATGCAGGGAACATGAGAGAAACCTCCCACAAGGATGGTAAAGCATCAAAACATTCCACTGGGCAATGTCCTTGCAGATGGCCAATTCTCTCACACCAGAAGCAACTTGCAGTTTCTCAAGTCACTCCTGACATGAAAAAAAAAAGGTTCCCATGGCTGAGCAGGACTCTAACCTTGATCTCTGGAGTCCTAGTCCGACACTCAAACCATGACACTACGTTGGGATTGCACTCTGCTCAAGCATATTGAAAAGCATGGTTGCTTTGCTCCCCAACTCTGGGCAGGGAAGGGAAAGCGTCAAAACCTTTCTAGCTGTAACAGCCATGCTCTCTCTCTCACTTTGCATTGCAGGCAATGGGTACATGGATGGGGAGGAACTGCTGACTTTTATCCAGGAGTTGCAGGACGCACGGAAGAAAGGAGGATTGGTAGGTTACAATCTGTCATAAGGATTAAAGAAATCATGGTGAACTCTGCTAACTGGGCAGCTTCTGCCCATGTTTGGCCACAAGCCTATCATGTAACCAAAGGCAACTGGTTGGCCAGCATTGGTCCATAAAGCATCAGCTGGAGAGATTCCGGGAAAGGAAAAAAGTATTTACAGCCAATGAGTGCAAATACAGTGCTGGTCCCTAGCAAACTGGAAAAAAACAACAACTGTCAATCCCCTGTATCAGATATCCTAAGAAGCACAGCTGTAAAGCAAAAGATAATCTGGCAGATTCATGCTGTGCCGCTGGGAAATCTGAGATGGAATCTAGTTAATTAATGCTCTCTTATTTTCTCGCCACTTCTGTACTAGATCATAACACCCTTTGAAAGATAACCGGGTTCTGAAACATATGCCCCTTGATGACACAATTAATTGTAATAAATAGGTATTTTCTCACTGTGCTATTGTGAGTTTTTCAGGCTGTATGGCCAAGTTCTAGAAGCATTCTCTCCTGACGTTTCGCCTGCATCTATGGCAGGCATTCTCAGAGGTTGTGAGGTCTCTTTTGTACTGTTGCAGATCTCACCCCCCCCTTATGTAAATGAAAATTCAATATTTAATAGACGTGTGACTAATATATAGTCTGATATACATTTCTGCCCCTTGCTGGCTGATAAACAGATTTGCAGATGAGTTCTATATCTTGCTTTGACTTCAAGTGAACCAGAACTGCTATGGAGGCAAAACAGCTCTCCAAAGAGTTCAGGAAAGACAATACGTCGATTTAGTATTTGAATGGAAGAGGTGAAGAAGTGTTCAGTCATAGGGATAAAGCCAACATTACTCCTCCCAAAACTTGACCAAGTGAAACAATTGTAAGTTTTTAGTCACAATTGAACTCCTGTGGGATATGACTGACAGCCAGTGTTTACGTTTTAAATGAAGTAAAATATTGGAATCAGCATTTGCAAAGTTGTATAAAACACAGTCTTGTTAATGAATGGATTCATTTGTCAAAGTAATGAATTGCACTAAAACATACATTAAAAACAATTATTAATATATTGTCGAAGGCTTTCATGGCCAGAATCGCTGGGCTTTTGTGAGTTTTCCGGGTTATATGGCCATGTTCCAGAAGCATTCTCTCCTGATGTTTCACCTGCATCTATGGCAGGCATCCTCAGACAGTTATATGTTATGGTCTTGCTATTATCTTTTAGTTTTTGCATGTATGTACAACATTGAATTTTGCCTTTATAATGTTTGAAACCGCCTTGAGTTACCGGTGGGGGGAGGGGGGGGAAAGCGGTATATAAATGTAGCAAATAAATAATATAAATATATTGTCGAAGGCTTTCATGGCCAGAATCACTGGGTTGTTGTGAGCTTTCTGGGCTGTATGGCCATGCTCCAGAAGCATTCACTCCTGATGTTTCGCCTGCATCAATGGCAGGCATCCTCTGAGGTTGTGAGGTCTGTTGGAAACTAGAAAAATTGAGTTTACATTGTGAAATGTCCAGGGTGGGAGAAAGAACTCGTGTCTGTTTGTGCTAGGTATGAATGTTGCAATTGGCCACCTTGATTACCATTTAATGGCCTAGCAGTTTCAAGATCTGGCTTATTAGTTTCTGGGGGAATGCTTTGTTGGGAGGTGATTAGCTAGCCCTGATTGTTTCTTGTCTAATATATATAGATATATTAACCAAATTTCCTAGTTTCCAACAGTCCCCACAACCTTTGAAGATGCCTGCCATAGATGCAGGAGAAACGTCAGGAGAGAATGCTTCTGGAACATGGCCATACAGCGCGGGAAAACTCACAACAATCCAAATTAATATATATTTCAAATGCCATGTAAATACACTTAGATGACTAAAATTGTGAGACAGATCCAGCATCCTTTGAAATAAAAATTAAGCCACTATGAGTATTCACCAAATTCCTATATAATGGCTTCAGTTTGAAAAAAAAGTATAATTGAGTTGTTTCATAATGATTACAAAGTAATTAAATGATTTAGTGAAAATTGGAGTGCTATAGGCAACCACTGTATACAGTAGCTATGGGGCAACTTCATCCCTCCAGAGGTTTTGGACTCCAACTCCCATCATTCCTAACAGCCTCAGGCCCCTTCCTTTCCCCCCTCAGCCGCTTAAGTGGCTGAGGGGGAAAAGGAAAGGGCCTGAAGCTGTGAGGAATGGTGGGAGTTGGAGTCCAAAACCCCTGGAGGGATGAAGTTGCCCCATGCCTGGTATACAGTTACTACTTTATTTTATGTGGTTATAAAAAGAAATTTAAGATTGTTGTGAAGGACAGAAATATATATTCCGGTAAAGAATTTATAATAATCTGTTTTTTTTTTTTTCAATTCAAGCAATGGCAGATCCCTCTCATATGCCTCTTGCCATGATCCTCTCCACCCAGGCTTCTATAAGATGAGTCATTGTAATCATCTGAATTAGAAAACACGGATTCATAATTTATTTTTAGAAGTAGGCTCTATTAAATTTCCCTCCATCTTTTAACTAAGTTTTCAACCGCAAAGAGGCATTTAAAAATTCTAATTTTTCCTTGTTTCACATTGGTGTCAAGCTCCTACTTTTAAAAAAATGGGAGCGTTCTGAAAGTGATCCATAAATCCCTGTAGGCACATTCCTGTGCGCCACCCACAGTATCATTTATGCCTTTTAATAGATTCTACCTGTATGCCTACTTCTACTTGGGAATGTGCTCAGGTGTTCCTGTTCATTTTTCCATTGGCATTTGTTTGGTGCAAGGCTAATTCTGGGTGGAAAAAAAGTAACAAACTTCACTTCTCTCATTGGATCATCTATATATGTTTGATCTCCAAAATCTTTCTAGCTTGGCTAGTCAATCAGGTTCCGATCTAAAATGAATCATGGTCTTGGACATTCATTCCCCAAGCACCTCTCTCATTCATTTGCAATGCAATCCTATGCTTGTCTTCCCAGAAATCAGTCCCAATGAATTAAATGGGTCTTACTGCCAGTTAAGGGTGTATTGCATTACACTTTTGCCTTGTTCCATTGGCTGGGTTTCAACAGCTTCAGATTTCATGACCTTCATTTGAGGGAATTTTTGTGTAAAATGTACATTTTCTAAACACCTTCTTGCAGTTTTATCATTATTTATTCCCTGTCCAGTCATTAATTTCATTTCAAAAAGTTACATCCACTTCTCTTTGAGAATAGATATTGATATTGATATGCATAGCAGGTTAGTTGAGCTGCGGAACCTGCTGACCAAAAGGTCAGCTGTTCAAATCTGAGGCGCAAGGTGAGCTCCCACTGTTAGCCCCAGCTTCTGCCAACCTAGCAGTTAAAAAACATGCAAATGTGAGGAGATCAATAGGTACTGCTCTGGCAGGAAGGTAACAGTCATGCTGGCCACATGACCTAGGAGGCATCTACGGACAACACCGGCTCTTCGTCTTAGAAATGGAGGTGAGCACCACCCCCTAGAGTCACACACGACTAGACTTAATGTCAAGTGAAAACCTTTACCTTTTATTGAGATATTGTGGTTGAACCCCAATTTGCATCAGTTCCAACCAGCCTGGACACTGATGAACACCAAGGGTAATAGAAAAAGTAAAGGTAAAGGTTTCCCCTTGACATTAAGTCTAGTTGTCTCCAGCTCTGGGGTATGGTGTTCATCTCCATTTCTAAACCGAAGAGCCGGTGTTGTCGATACACACCTCCTAGATCATGTGGCTGGCATGACTGCATGGAGTGCTGTTACCTTCCCACCAGAGTGGTATCTAATGATCTACTCACATTTGCATGTTTTTGAACTGCTAGGTTGGCAGAAGCTTGGGCTAACAGGAGGAGCTCACCCTGCTCCCCATATTCGAACCGTGAGCTTTTGGTCAGCAAGTTCACCAGCTCAGTGGTTTAACCTGCTGTGCCACTCCAGGGGAAATATTTGGAGGGTCAACATTTCCACAGTTCTGTTTCATGATATAAGCTTAAATCTATTTCAGCAAAATTGATAGGTAAATATTGTTCTGTGATTCCATGTTTTGAAACTGTTACCTTCATACTCTCATCAACTATTGCCAGAAGGTAATTTTAATCAAAATTGTTTCAGTTGTTGCCATAAACCTGGTATATAGGCTTAAAGGGAAAGATACAAACTCTTTTATACAGTGTGCACCATATATTTTATAGGCTATGTTTTTCCCCCCTTAAGAAAAAAACTGAACCCCTATTATAATTAAGTTCTGCAACTTTTTACTAAACAATTAGCTCAATGACTGGACATTTCTCCATATATCTTTGCCTGGATTATACTTTGACTCTGAGATTTGCTCTCACTGTGACATTTACAAAGATTTTTGTATTTCACTAAGCAATTAAATATAACTCAGGTTCAGCCTGAGCACAATTCCCTTAAGGGTAAGTGCAGTTACCCTTAAGGGAATTGCTGGGCTGTATTTCTCAACAGACAAAAGGAATGGACTTTTGTAAATTTGATTAAGATATGTTTAAACAGTTCTGAAAAATCTGTGTAGTTTATCTTTCAGCCCCTAACTTTATTAACAATCAAATTCTAAAACAAAATAAAAATGTATCACTACTGGCTGGGGATGCTGGGAGCTGTACCACGGGGTGCATGTACACTGTAGAATTAATGCAGTTTGACATCACTTTAATTGCCTTGGCTCATCACTGTGGAGTTGTAGTTTTGCAAGGTCTTCAGCCTTCTCTGCCAAAGAGTGTCAGAATCTCACCAAACTACAACCTCCAGGATTCCATCGCATTGAGCCTCAGCAGTTAAAGGACCTCATCACACTAGAGAATGAACCCACTTTAAATCCGGTAGTTACCTCCTGCAGAAGCTTTGTACTTCAGGAAAGAGCCTTTAACAGCCTCACTAAACTACAAAACTCGGAATTCTACAGGAGGCAGAAACTGGATTTAAAGTGGTTTCATTCTCTAGTGTAATGACGTAGAAAGTGATATCAAACTGCACTAATTCTACAGTGTAGATGCACCCACAATTGCTCTGGAGGGTCTCAGTATGGAAATTGGTAATATACAGGTGGAAGGCTCAGTATGGAAAAGACGGTTCTCACCTAAGAAGACTTGTACTGAGTTGTTGTTTGTGTCGGACTGACATGTTTCCAGGAAAATGAACACAGTGTATGAACACAGCTGCTTAGTAACAGCTAGTTCTTAAACATTAACAGTTATGCCATGGTAATTAGTTTCACATTCATTGTCATTATGCCCCATTTAATCCCCCTGAGATTAGGACACACGTACTCCATTTTCGGGGCTTCCTAAATGACAGAGAAAACGATAGAAATCCACTTTCCTCATCTTGCTGTCTTTGCTACCCTTTCCAAAACAATGTTATATCAGGCTATGAGGACAAATTTGTTAATTAAGGAAGACACTAATATTTCAAAGTACCCACCAGAGAATGGTTAAATAGACCGTAAGTGATAAACTGTGTAGTATTCAGGGATTCATTATTCATGGTGAAGAAGAAAATACTGTGGTAAGATCTGTAGATGCTTTCCGTAGTTGTGGGGAAGGTTGCCTGCTATTAGAAATCTTTTTCACATAGGTATGTTTTGGAATACTGTAATTTTTATTTCTACTTCATTTAAATCTCAATTCTTCATTCAGAATAACTAGTGGATTTTTGGAAATTGCACTGAAGTCAGTGCTACACAGATTAGATCCTGACCCCATGCAAGATTTTTTCAAAAGTACATCTCTAATGAGTCCAGTACGATTTACTTTCACCAAATTGCAATCAAAAGGCTGAAATTCTATATACACTAACTTGGACATAGTCACCTTTAAAATTAGTTTGACTTGCTTCTGAGTAAACAGGCTCAAGCTGTACAAGCAACAACATGTAGTTGGCAAAAAGCAAGTATTCTATATACATAATTTACCCTCTTTTTAACATATCAAAGAGATATTGTATATTTGCTAAAGAGAAGAATACAAATACAAAAGGGTTCTTTTTGGTAAGAAAAGCTAAACCTCTAATAATATAAATTCCTCTGGAACAAAATTTATAGTAATAGGAGGCATACCTGTGTCACTGCAAATGTCCACAAATCTGGTCAATGTTGACATTCTTATATGAATATTGACAACCATGGGCAGATTTCATAAGCGTCAAAAGTCTCTAAGACACCTTAGCAACAGTTAAATGCCATTGCTAGCATTCACTAGTGTGCCTGAAAGACGGGAAAATCTCTTTTCATGAAACATGCTGAAGATTGTCAACATTCACATGTTGACACATTGAGATTTGTACATTCCTAGTAACACACTAGATGTTGAATCTCAACAGACATTTTGAAATAAACAAAAATTTGTCACGACTGACAGATCCTATTGGTTGGAATGGATCCATATAGCTAAGTATGGACATATACCAACAAAAATGGGTTTGTGACATTTATCAATGTAATGAGAAGTTACAGTCTGGCAACTTAGCCTGTTTTGTATTGTGTGTTTTCAAGCTGATCCTAAGGTGATGTTTTCCAGAGCTTTTGCCATTGCCTTCCCCTGAGGCTGAACCTGTGTGACTTGCGCAAAGTCACCTATTGAGTTTCCAGGGCCCAGCCTGGATTCGAGCCCTGGTCTCAGCATGCCAGTTCAGGATTCTAACAATTACCCCATTCTGTTTCTCTCTTTTGTTACTTACTAGGGAAAATGAAAGTGAGAACTTGTTGCTTATATTGAACTAGAATGGATGTTTCAATAAGAACTTAATGTCAGAATTTGTGTCAAATCTATTGATTTGGTGGGTTTATTCAGCATCGAACTAACAATTGGATTTAGGACTGTATTCTTAACTTATGCTGAAATTTTATAGTAATTAGTATGTCAGAATCATAGAGTTGAAGAAATCTTTTAAGCCATCAAGTCCAACCCCCTGCCTTTGATGTGGATTTAGCTGAGATTAATGAACTGCCAATGGAAAATTTCTATCCCCCCTTTGCCTATTTTATCAACCATTCTTATAAAATAATAATAATAATAATAATAATAATAATAATAAGGATGAAAGACATAAAATGAGTAGCCCTCCAAGATCATGGGGCTAAGGAGGGCAATGCATCACTAGCTGTGCCCATACCTTGAGCAGTCAGACTTGGCCATGTTGGTCCACGCTCTCGTTACATCCAGGATAGACTACTGCAATGCTCTCTATGTGGGGTTGCCTTTGAAGATGGTTTGTAAGCATCAAATAGTCCAACGAGAGGCAGCCAGGATAATAACTGGGGTGACATACAGGGAGCACACAACTCCCATGTTACATCAGCTCCACTGGCTGCCTGTTTGCTACCAGGCAAAATTCAAAGTGCTGGCTTTGTCCTATAAAGCCCTAAATGGCCCTGGCCCAGTTTCCCTATCCGAACCTCTGGGGAGGCTCTGATCTCGGTCCCCCCACCATCACAGGCATGTTTGGCGGGGACAAGAGACAGGGCCTTCTCAGTGATTGCCCCCCAGTTATGGAACTCCCTTCCTGGCAATATTAGATCAGTCCCCTCCCTCCTGTCCTCCAGAAGGAGGGTGAAGACCTGGCCATGGGACCAAGACTTTGGGGCAGTGCAAGGAGGCAATATTAGAATGGTGTCCTGAGATGGTTTTTAAACAACTGGTTTTAAAGTGGATATAAGTGATTTTAATGTTTGTATATATTTATGATTTTATGTCCCGGCATTGAATGTTTGCTGTATATATGTTGTGCTCCACCCTGAGTCCCCTGTGGGGTGAGAAGGGCAGAATATAAATGCTTCAAATAAATAAATAAATAAATCTGGAAGAAGAATAACCCAATGTAATCAATCCCTATTGCATGACAGCCAATATTATGTGCTTCAGCTGTGCATCTGAGCACACCGCACTGTCCATATTCTGCTAGAACTATTCTTGACTGAAAGAGTGCCGATCTTACTATGTCTCTATTCTGAAATGTTCACATCTGTGTGCAGAATCAATCCAAAGGGGGCAACTTTTAAGGATGTAATAGTAGGAAAACACTCTTTGATTGATTCAACTTGAACTCTTGCAGCTCCACTCCATGCAAACCTAGGATTTGTAGTTTGGTGATGTCCTTAGAATTCTTTGCCATGTTGCTCTAGTGCTATGATTTAAAGGAATCGGCTCAAGTACTTTAGAGGGAAGTTTGTTTATCTCAACAAATAATAGCCCTCTTGATTCTATAACATGGAGCAATGGCAGTTAAAGTGGCATCACACAGCTAAAATTGCTGGTTTTGATACACTCCGTGCATTATTTATGCATTCCTAAATCTTACACGAGGCGAGAATAAGCTCATAGTATTTTTTAAAAAACAAAACATAAGACTTGTTTTTGTATTTAACTTCAACTCTAAGTGTGGAGTATTCTACAAGAGATATTTTTCACTACATGGATTTGTTTCCCAGTCATTCAAGCAGAATGGTTTCTTTAATTTTGGCTCGTTGGCTTTTAAAGAAATGTCTTCGAGCTCTGTCTGTAGAGAACGCCTACTGAGCAACTGTTTATTTCGGTAGAGCTTTGACAGTTTGTGTTCTTGATTCTTGCCTATGTTTAATTTTGTGTAGTAATGACTATATTGTACATTTATAGGACTTAACTCCAGAAATGAAAACATTTGTGGACCAGTTTTCAAAGAGTTCTGATGGCAAAATAGGAATAGTAGAGGTAAGACGGCTTTTTATTTAACGTAGCTCTTTATATTTGTTGTTCATAGCTCTGCAATAGTGTGATGTAATATTAGTTCGTATTGATATATTGTAAAAAAAAAGTTTACCCTATTTACCTTTGATGTTTCCGAATCACACAATGCTGTTTTCATTTTTTAAAATGAGTATATTAAAATAACTTAAATCTTGAAAAAAAAAATCTATGGCTGTAATCTGTCTGTATGCGCATCTCAGCTATTTTCTTGCCATTCAGGAACATTGGGAATGTTTGCAGTAAGAACACTGGTTGGTAGCCAGTGAAGATTTAAGCGAACAGATTCAGTTTATCTTAGCTTTCAAAAAGAAACTGGTGTGATTAACAGCTGATAGCACCGTTGTTATTGGAACAATGGTGCTGGTTCGAATTAGTAATGTCAAGCAGGTACAAGCTCTCAGAAAACGGAGGAAGCTGAGAAATATGCACATGACTGTTGTTTATATGTGTGCATGTCAATCCAACATGGCAGCCTACTTCAGCATATTTATTGCTCTAGCAAGACAAATTAGCATATATTTTCAAGAAACTCAAGTGACTGAATATATTTAAATCCTTGAATATTGCGTTCTGAGAATTTCTAAGAGAAACCCCATAATTAAGATGCAGAACCTTTGAGGTTAGACCTCTTTCTAGGAAACAGTGGTAATTGTTTCACAATGAGTGTTTTTGTTTGCTTTGCTTGCTTGCCTGTTTTGAGTTTGCAGCAGCACGTATTACATTTGTAATATATACATACTGAATGTTTTCTATAATGTCAATGAACGAAGCTGTTTATATTTGAAGAGAGAATGTTAAGCACAAAGAGTTAGGGTGGTGTCTAAGGGTAGTTCATTGTTTGGATCATACTTATTGAGCTCCATACAATTTTGTACATCAACATTAGTGAACTGAGTAAGAGATGTTTTTACAACTCAGTTCACCTTGTCCTAGAAATTTACTGGAGATATTTAAAGTGTCCGTGACCATTCATTCCACTAGAATGATGCTAATCATTATAATAGCAAGGCAGAAATGAAAGTTCTTGCTTCTATTTTTGCCCTAAAAGCTTATTGCTAGAGACTGGTTGAATTCTACAAGATCAAATCCCAAACATTGTGCTTGCTTCACCCAAAGGACTATGTACTGTCAAGAGGTAGGAGTGATAGGTACAAAATGCCTAGTTACTGATGTATATCTGCATGTTTATTTCCATGCAAATTGAGTATCATAGGAAAAGTGTTCCACAAACAATACTATTATTTATTTTATTTATTTCAAACATTTGTACCCCGCCCTTCTCAACCTCTGGAAGGGGGGGACTCAGGGCAGTTTACATCCGGCACAATTCGATGCCATTACATATAAATATTACATATAAGAACACAGTAAATTAATTTTAAAATTAGTTTTAAAATAAAAAGTACATTAATAAAAAGTGCAATACACTGGCTATCTAGCCTTACGTAGAAACAAATTCAGTGAGCACAACACAATCGGAAGCCTGTCCATAGTCCATTTTCCATAACATTATCATCATTACCATTGTCAATTATCTGCCAGCTACCCAAAGTCCTGTCCCATAAACATGTTTTCAGTTTCCTCCAGAAGGCGAGGAGGGATGTTGTTGACCTGATTTTGCTGGGGAAATCTTATTCCTGTTAGCCAGGGCTGTACCACGGATGGAGTATAGAGAAGGCTAGTATGTATAAGACAGCCCAAGAGCTTTTAAAATTCTTGTCAATTCTTTGAGTTGTGTTTGGAAATAAATTGGTTACCAGCACATCCCTTGCAGGTGAATTTGATTCTGTAGTTCTGTGGTTTCCAGCCTGTAGTCTGTGGACCACCAATGGTCTGCAAGAACTAAAATATGGTCCGCAGCCTCATTGTTACTACACCATTGCAACAAGAACAACTGGTCTCATAAAATCCTCTTATAGTGCCAAGCAATGGGGATGTTGGGAGGGGAGAGGCTGACTACTCACAAAAGGCACAACAACAAGTCACCTGACTGCTGTTTCTCCTCCTCCTCACTCCCCCTGAGTGGAGCCATTTCATGTGGTGCCTGGAAGGAGGGGCACTTTGGTGTCTGCATTTTAAGACAGTCCTTAGGGTTATTTGGGGTGCTGATTCAGAAAATTGCATTGGATAGACCACATCCATTCTATATTATAAAATATGGTTTTTTTGTGGGCAAGCAGATGGCGGCTACTGGATGGCATATATTCTGTATCATAAACTAGAGCTGATGTGGTCTATCCAATGCAATTTTTTGAATCAACACCCCAATAACCACACCAAATCTAAAGTTGGCCAAAAGCTGATTCATAATCCTTTTGGTACTAATGTTGGAGAGTGGTCCCTGGCCAAAAAAAGGTTGGGGACCGCTGCTGTAGATTGAGGTGGTGAAAGTGAAGTTCTCCTTGAAGCTCCACACTTATGGCCTTCTCAAATAAACAGCCAGTCCCTGGGACTTCATTTTAAAAATGGTGATATTGGTTAGCTATTTCCATCACTATGGTTTCCAGGTAATTTTTGCCTTAAGACTGTACTAAAATATTCAATATGTATAAATCTTGAAGTTTGCTTTCTCATCCTGTAACCCTTTTACACTCCCCAATCATACTATTTAGCAGTATATTGAATCAAAATGGCAACCAGAAATAGCATTATCACCTGGATGCAGACAGTGAAAGTTTGGAGGGAGAGAATAGTGTCCTCTTCATGCAGTTTCCCATCCCTGCCATAAATGAACCCCCACCAGCTCACTTACCTCTGAATTTTTGACTACTGCAATTTCAAAGTAGTTTCTTGTAGAAAATATCACAATAACACAGTAGATCCACATATTATGTGAGAGCTCTGTTCCAGGACCCTTTGTGCAATGTGATGTTCATGTATAATTCAAATCCCTGTTCTTCTTAGTGGAAATAAACAATGTTTTGGACTTCCAGCCAAAGCACATCATAGAACCACCCCAGGGAACTTTAAAAATGTCTAGAGATGTTTTCTCTTTAGACCTCCAGCATGATCTATAGTCAATTTCTACCAGAAGTTCTGACCTAAATTGCTCAGAGACTGGCGACCTAGAAAGAACGCTTCCCCAGGTATCACAATTCCTGCATGATTCTGTGGTATTCAAAGCTCTTCGGGCAATGAGTCCACATACTAAACAGGTCTGACTTCATCAGACTTAGAGGCAGTGGGTCTACTGACTATAGCACTCTTGGCTAAAGTGGTTTCTGAAGCCAAAAGCATCTCCTTTCCCAGTGCAAAAGGAGTCCTTCAAGTGGAGCACTGTCCTATTCAAACTAGGCTGAATTTCTAATCCAGAAATCTCTCGTGGCCAGGGATATCCCTGTCTTGCCTGGATTGCCCCCACTTGTTAGCCCTCGTTTGACACCAGTTTGGAACATCAGCAGTTTCCCTGCTAGGGGATGAAAAGGTGAATATAGCTGCCCGAAGGAAGATAATCCGCTAAGGTGACCAAAGTTGTCTCAGTGCCAAACCCAGGCCTGAAGCCAGACTGTAATAAGTCTGGATCAGGAACAGAAATCCAGTGGCCAGCAGACCACATTCAATTCAGGATTTGTACAGATTGTGAGCAGCATATAGACTGGCGTGGGGTGGGGTATGTCAGACCTCTGATTCCCCTAAGGTTTCCCTTGACAGAGTGTACTTTTAAAAAATGTCACAAAAATGTCCCAAACTGTATCTGTAGCTGGTATCGTTTACTATTTTTTAAATTGCTGCTATGGGAATCCCTTGCCCCAGAACAACAAGAAACCATTAAAAATAGGCACTACAAATGATTGGAATATAATTCACAGTATCACAAAAATTGCATCAGGCAGCTCAGCGTCCAGAGGTTGTAAAAATGCAGAGGATTCTAACCTTTTGGGGCTACCCACTACTGGTCTAGATTTCATTCAGGAATCCCTGAAGTTGAGATACCTCCAGATATTTAATATTCTTGTCCCCAATTGTAAACAGAAGTGGTTGGAAATTGTCTAAGATAGCTTCTTTAGTAAGAAGCTTCTTATTGAGATAGCTTATTTGATAAGAACTTCACAGCAGTTGCCTTAAAGTGGGATTCCTTAGGCAATTGTCCTTACCTGACTAGATCTTTCTGGCTTGCCTTAATTAGCCAAGGAGGGTGAAGGTCAAGTGTACACAAGGGTTGATCTCATGCTACTAATGAGCAGGTCTGTAACCTCGGGGTGTATAAATGCCAGGATGTCCACAATGACAGACGTGCTGCAGTCACGAATCCCAAGTCATTGCAGATGTGAACCTAGCAAAAATGTCTAGCAAAAAAATCACACCAGGCAACCAGGTTTTCTTTGCCAACTCTCAGGACTCCTGAATATAACAGACATCTCACAATTCAGAATAGTTCCCTTCAGTGCCTCTGTGTGGATGTAATGATAGTCATTTGGGAAATCTCCACAGAAGCAGTCAAGTCTTGAGCTCTTCCCAGTAGGGTAGCCTCCACCTGAATGATGAAGCTGCCCACCAAACATGACTAATTTGGGAAGTTCTAGCATCTCTAGCTCAGGCAGAAAAATTATCAGACATATTATAAGTATGAATAAAGTGAGCACTAAATACAGGCAATCAAGCTTACTTACATAGTATATGGAAGAAAATCCAGTGAATGCGGATTTTGTTATTAAAATAAATGTAACAATCACTTATCCAAAGTTGAGCATGGAAGATGCTATAGATTGAATTTAAAGAACTCAGTGTTAATTCTGTTGTGAAATATGCCAGATATAAATTTTCAAGGCAGATTCATGTAGTCATATAGGAAAGGTATAGCTTCAGCTACCAATCAATCAATCAAAAGACAAAGGGAGTAGATTACAACATGAGTTGGAGGACATAAAACTCTGTCATTCCATCTTCTCTTTTCTCCCAGATGGGTATGGTGGCATCATAGCATACTATGTTAAGAGCTGCCAAACATGATTAAACATTAAACA